CAGCAATGCTATGCTGTCTGAACAAGTCAGTTACAACACGTGCAACATGTAGGTGGGCATTATCCTGCTGCAACGTGACGTCGTGACCCTGAATTTGCACAAAGGGTACAACATTTATGAACAACGTTGTGACCTTCGATTGACTAGTTTTGGGCAACGACAAATATTTAAGTACAATTGTTCCGAAATTAGTATTAAAAGTCTCGTATTGTTGAAACTAAACTGCATCGCTTTTAACTCTCAAATGTTTGTCTCGTGTAATTAAGATATACTGGTTGTTTCCGGGTTACTGCTACGATGGGAAGTCAAAGACGTGATGTTTACATCTGTTGTGAACGGGTGGTGTCTTCGCTCTGACCAACGTGAGAACACCAAAATCTCAAGGCTGTGACCGACTCCGTGTTCCGGTGGATAACGCACCTACCAGAACAGCGGTAGGTCTGTGGTTCGCTCCCCTTCCGCGTCATATCAAGAACGTTAAAATATGGCACATGCTGTTTCCTTGCCTGAAAGCTCTCGGCATTAAGGCGATAAAACAAGGACAGGACGGCTGGGACCCAGCGTATTACATCTGAGTGGGGTATCCATTTTAATCTGCTACATGGTATCTCAGTGGGCTAGCACTATAAAACCGGGATTAGTCCGCACAAGTACAAGACTAGAACAATCAGACACACGCACGCACGCACGCACGCACGCACGCACGCACGCACGCACCATAAGTGCAATTATCTTGAACGCAACATTTAAACCTCATTTCACCTCACCTCACCTTAAAGACATCCAGTCATCGGGCACAGAGGCTTTAACTTGTAATACGCCAGTGTTCGTAGTTTCTGGTGAATGTCCAAATATTACAGAGTCGGTGCGAATGCATGATCCTTTAAAATATTCTTCATAGAAGTACATGATCAAAGTCGAATAATAGTAGTATACTAAAACACTATTACTTCAACTATTTAATTGCCTATTGAAAACCGAGCACACCGATGTAGTTGTCTGTTGTATAAATGTTCATATTTGCAACTCTGACATTTTTAAACAGCAGGTATTGTTGTAAACCCTGATCAAACACCTTTGGAGCAAGAGTAATTTCCAAACAAAATCCACTTGAATTGAGCCATTTTAATGATTATGCCTCGTTAATATTGTATGTGGGTACATGTCGTTGTCCAAAACTAATCGAGGTTATTGTCACGCGTTTCATGATTGTAACGAACATCAGTATAAATTCATGACAACATACATTTAAAATGTCTATGTTACCTACATATATTCTACAAACCAAATATGTGCTGACCAGGGACTTACCTACTGTGGCCGTTCCTGTCAATTATACACGATAAGCAGTGCAGGCATTGAACATATCCGACTAAATTTTCAATTGTGTTTGCTCCCTAATATCTAGTCCTGTGAAGCTTATCTCCTCGACAGGTACTGGGGCTACACATTGCTGGGTCAATGTGACCTGCTATTTCTAAGAAAGCCCTTGATTTCCTGGAATTGTCAGTGACTGACTCGCTGTGTATTTAGGTCAGCTCTACTACGTATAGCGCTATGTAAACACACCTTGTTATTCCCCGTTATTCCGCAACTATACAAAGGTCATATCCTTCCAAGCAACAGTGTAAATAATGCCCGCCGCAATGTCATGAACGTGATCTGCAATCGATATTTCAGCATTGTTGCACGCGATCTGCAATTGATACTTCAGAATTATAACGTCAGAAAGCGTCCTGGAACGGAGGTAGAAAGTCGCTGTCAAGAAGTATATGTGTAAACATATGTTAACAGAGTTAAGAGTTACATATGTAGACATTTGCATTTAAATAGTCTGAATTTGTATAACTTAATAACAAATGAATAAAGTGAACTCAATGCAATTGTTTTCCTAAACTCCTGGCATCATCACTCTTTGATAGTGATTCATAAACACACGCTTATGTTATGATCGGAATCATGCAATGGTCTCTGCTAACAGCAGAGATTGCGTCAGATTATGGAAAGAGTTTTGTCGCTTTGTTATGTCGATTTGAACTGTAGTTCAGGTATGTACTGGCGAGGAAATGTTGGAGGAGAGCTCAAAGAGACGCGGGTCGTTGATATTTTTGCGGCCCGACCAAGGGTTATAATAGGATGAGTACGAATCTGTCAGTCGCACCACAACCATGGAATTCTGGAACGGCTCTGCACAGCTACATATAAAGGCGCTGCCTTTAACCCCCAAGTCTACCATGCAACTTGACAACGCTGAAACTAAACAACATTTCTCCGTCAAACACAATTACTGTCGATCAGGCCCAGGGAGATTCGGCTGGGAGGATAGCAAAATAAACATACATAATTATTTGGGAGAGTTACAATGTTAGTCCATATGGATGAATAATCATTAGATTTTTATGTGTAAACTTAAGAACTAGAGATGACCCAATTTTATCAGTTTTGCAACTGACGGCATCATAAAGTAGTAAAAAAACCTGTCTATTTGAGATACACGTCTGTCTTTGTGCTCTTTAGCCTTTTGTAAACTGGACAGTAGTCTAACGTTCAGTCAGTTCAGCTCTTGTTAAAGTGGCGAATCTAATCAGAAACAATGTAACACAGTTACAATTATTGTTAAACAATTAATACACTGTCATATAACATTATACAGTCCAGAATTTTCTTTTGTTCAGTTTTCATGTTTTGAGTGATTGAGTGAGTTGGGTTTAACGCCGTTTTTAACAGTATTCCAGTTATATCACTTCGCATCAGCTTAAGGTGGGAGGAAAGACCGAAGTGATGCAGGTCCCAGATGTTTACCACTTCGGTGAAACCCATGAGCACGGCTATGGTGCTGACAAACCTAGAAACATAATCGCCCAAGGGACGCAACTCTGCACAGCGAATCGCGGCGCTTTAGACGAGTCGGCCACACGTGCCCCCTCACGTTTTGAATCGAGAACGTTTTCAAAATATTTTTAAAAAAGTAGTACCGGGAAGCTCGAGACAGTCGCTTAGTTATTGGCTAATGTCGACTTCCTGTTTGTCATTCCATTCAAAATACGCGAAACCTTGTTCTGACAAGACATGCAATGGGGGTGTTCTCAGATCTTTGTGTGTCGGTAGCGAGCGCCTAGGTCTGATTTTAATGAGATTGGGACTTGACCAGTTATGCGTTCATATGGTCATTAGTTTGTTCACACAACAATTTCAGACGTATTTCACGTATTCATGTATTCACGTATTCAATTGTAAAGCCATATGGGAAGGTTATAGCGTGCAGTTTTATTCGGAGTGGGGCGTCTTTAATAAGGACAAGCAGCAAAAAGCGTTTTGTGTAGTGATCTGTTACTTTTATTCGCATGTATACGCAGGTTTCATATAGTGACCGTTCTTGTAGCCGACTCCAAAAAGTCCTAGGGACTGACCAAACTATCCGTTAGTTTAACCTCGGCTGGCATGGTATGCTTAACAGGACATATACCATTCTGCCCAAGTTTCTCTGTTCCAGTTCAACTTAACAGTTCTGTCTCATTCACCATTCAAGTTCTAGGTGCCAAAGCTGCAAATTTTCCGTTCATTAAAAACAACTACGTACGACAGTACGGCTGCCTGTCTTTAACCCACTGTCCCACTGTAAAGCAATAGCATGTCCCCGTGAGGTCAGATGTGGCTTGTCATACAAGACCTGCATAAATGTTGAGAACAAACCGCTTCAAAGAGTCTAAGTATCAATGGATCTCAACGGTTTTCTTATCCCAAGATGCTTGATGATATAATGTGATCGTCTTTTAACGCTGATAACAGAAACAAATAATCCCAAACATAAGTTGAACTTTACATCTTCAAAATGTGTTCATGTGCTGTTCTTGTTATGAAATAATGGGTTTAAATACTTTGTGGTTTTCGCCCAGAATCAGTGACTGAGGAGGGAATCGGATCCCTTCTTATTTTATCTAAAAATGTTCAGATTCCCCAACTGTTTAGCCGGCGAACTGTCTCAGGTCTTCCAGCTGAGTGAGGTTGGCGAGGCGACTCAGAACATTACTTCAGCGGGTTCTCAAGGCTTTATCATATAAATAATTACAAATATCTAAATAACATTTTCCTCATAATAAAATAGTGAGTGAGTTGGGTTTAACGCCGCTTCTAACAGTATTCCAGTTATATCACGGCGTGTCAGCTTAATGTGGAGGAAAGCCCGAAGTGATGCAGGTCTCAGACGTTTACCACTTCGGTGAAACCCACGAGCACGGGCATGGCGCTGACAAACCTAGAAACATATGGATTCGAAACCACAATCATAAGTTCCTGGCGTGCCAAAGGGAAGCAACTCTGCAAAGCGAATCACGGCGTCTAAGACGACTTGGCATAATAAAATAATCATAAGGCATTACACAGTTCATACTGTGTGATAAAATGCCAAAACTACATCCAAACACTCACATACTTTGTATTTTACAGAAGTGAATAAACTGCTTCCAAGCTCAAGTCTATTTGTATATATAGCCATCAGCAACCAGGACCATCATATTGAATAAAATTAGAAAAATGATTATTGAAGAAATGGATTTCAGTGTAAAGTTATTTTTTAAATATATTGTTTGAGGTCAGTATTATGTAAAAATCTATTTATTCACTTTTGTTTCCACGTCTATGAACAGTTCTCATGGCAGAGACCATATGCTTGCATATGGTTACTGCTCATCAACCGACACATAAAAGTGCACATTGTATTAGTATAATCACTCGTTATAATAAGCAAGGCAGAATGTTTACATACATAAAATGAATGTAAAAAATATTTATTAACATACAGTGTATTGTCATTAACTGAACAGAATTTCACTTAATAGATACCTGTAGGGGTTAAAAACAGCCTCCATTCAATAATATTTGTTTGTTTAGTTTGTTGTTTAGCGCCGCACTCAGCACTATTTCAGCTATATGACGGCGGTCTGTACAGTATCATTATCCAGTGACTGACATCATGAACAAGCAATTGAAATACGATGACATGCATTAACTAAGTCAGCGACCCCGACACCCGATCCTGTTACGCGCCTCTTACGACAAGCACTGTCGCCTGTTACGGCAAGCATGGGTTGATGAAGACCTATTCTACCATGGATCTTCACGGGTTGCACCTATCTACATCACAATCATAACTACAATTCTATCAAAATGGACAGTTGAAGTCAGATTGTGAGATTTAAGAATTTAATATATTTACAAAATATAAATTACTTTTAATGCACGTAAATTATGAACTCTGAACAGATGGAAAAGAAACACACCACTGCATAACTGGATAAGAAAAGATAAGATAATTATTTCTTGATGTTCTATGAAGAGCAGTAAGTGAGAGAGAAAATAAAGTTTTACGCCGCTTTTAGCAATTGTTCAGCAATATCATGGCGATTCCATGAATATACAGAGGCAATATTCTTCAAATCACAAAATATATGCATAGTTAATACAAAACACACATATATTACAGATACAAAGGTGGTAAATTCTAACAGTGTCATTTTAGAACAAATGTAATATAATGATATCGAAACAATTGAGCAAAATGTGGTACTGTTGTACATATGGGAACTTATTTTAAAATGTATATGATAATAGATTTTGGAAATTGTTTTTAGATAACTGATAAATCAAAGACCTCGATGCTTTTACTGTGCTTACCAAGGATAACTTCATTGAATTTATTATGGTTGATATGTAGATTATTAATAGCGCAATATTGTGATAAATAGTTTACCGGTAAATCATTTATAGTTTATTGGTTGAATCTGATAACAAGAGACCATCAGTAAGTAATAAATAGCAAATTTTAATGTTGTCTTGTTTAAGTTCCATTACTTTTGACTTCAAATGTATGTATGTATGTATGTATGTATGTATGTATGTATGTATGTATGTATGTATGTATGTATGTATGTATGTATGTCTCAATCGCTATCTGAATCAGCAAATGCATTTATTACGAAATGGTATAACATAATATATATACAAAAACAGTATTTCTCTTGCTGAAATGTTGAGACATTTCTTTGTTTCCTCAGCAAATTTCGATGCTGTTCACATGATCCCATTATTGAAACTGGACCACAACATAGATATATAAGAGAAGAACTCATTTGTCAATTGCTCACTTTTACAAAATTTGTATATGTAAATTTATCACGCAATGAAATACAGGAAAAGTAACATGTAAGTTATGGACTCCTCTACTCTGAATGTACTGATTATAAGTGTACTATAGGCCTGTGGCCTACTCAGAACAGAAATGAAAAAATGTGACATAATGACAACACTACAATTAATGGATAGGGCTGCTATGAACTTCAATGTCTACAATGTCAGATAAGGGTCAATACATTTTCAACTGATCCTTTCGGAAACTTAATTTATTTGGTGACCCAAACATGGTTTAATCTAAAACTTACAGCCCGTATCTGACGATGTCAGTTGTTTCTCTATTGGTCCTTTCAGTGACATGGTCTGTTTATGTCTGGCAATTAAAGCCAACCAAATATAAATCCATAGACACTATGAAAAAGGAAACTTGTTGACATCGTACTATTGCCTGAAGACGAACAGTTTGCTAAAGTTGGTTGCTCAGCATGTGGGTTGTAACATTTCCAGTATGCTTTGATTGCCATTACTTTGCGCATACTCAATAGGTGATTGTCCGTGGCTATTCTGAGCATGAGCATCAAATCCACGACTAAGGAGTTCACCTACAATTTTGAGATTGTCATCTTTTGATATACATGCAAAGTGGAGACATGTTGACATGTCCCCACTTCTCAAATTTAGATCTGCTCCTTTGCTCAACATCCAATCAAACAGTGCTTTATGACCATTCTTGCAAGCTATCATGACTGGAGTCTGGCCAAGATCATCTCTCAGATTGATGTCGACTCCTGACTGGAGTAGAAATCCTGCCATGGAACAATGTCCTCCTAATTGTGCAACAACATGTAAACAAGAACTTCCATCTGCTGTTTTCTCATTCACATCAGCACCTCGCTCCGTCAAGAGATTGACAATGTGCGTTAGATATTTGTGATTGCTGGCAGCTACCATAAGGGGTGTTTTTCCTAGTTTGTCCTTACTGTCTGGGGATAGACCAAGGTCCAGTAGCATTGATGCAGCATGTATGTTGCCGCTCAATGCAGCATCGTGAAGACACGACGAGCCTGTATTATCTAGGGCGTTGATATCAGCCCCATATGAAACAAGAAGATAAATCACTTTAGGAGAATCAGCTTGAGTAGCATAAAAGAGAGGTGTTCTTCCACTATCATCTTCATCATTTACTCCAAAGCACGCCAGGGCCAGAAGTCTTTCGACAACATTCTCGTTGCCGCCTTTACAGGCAATATGCAGGTATGTTTGATTCAAGTCATTTCTATCATAAGTATCAACATCCAGTTTTAAAAGATACTCAACAATGTGGAGGTGTCCTTTGAGACAAGCATTTCTTAGAGGTGTTGCGCCATTTGTTGCTTTTCTATTAATATCCAGATCTGTGCTGTGTTGGAGTAAGTATTCCAATATGTCCAGATGTCCAGATAGGCAGGACGCATGGATACACGTGCGGCCCATATTGTCACTGCAATTTATGTTTGCCCCCTTCTCAAAAAGAAACTTGACAGTTTCCACGTTTCGTTTACATGCTGCAATCAAAGGAGTCCATTTATTTCTGGTCAAACAGTTTATATCCTGTCCAGTCGCCAAGCATTTCTCAATCAGGGGAATGTTGCCTGCACTCGCAGCAAAATAAATGCACGTAGAATCACCTTTGTCCTTCAGTGATATCTTTGCTCCATGATTTAGTAAGACATCTGCTGTGTCTCTAAAGCCATTGATCAAAGCTAACATTAGGGGTGTTCTATCATAATCAGACAATGGGTCAACCTCCAACCCCATACTTAACAACCATTCGACAACACGAGTGTGTCCCTGCATAGCTGCTACATGGAGACAAGTTAGCTTATTATCATCTGCAACGTCTCGTTTAGCTCCTTGACTGACAAGCTCCATTGCAGATTCAAGACTTCCATTTCTACAGGCAAAGATGATTGCAGTTCTTCCTCGTCCACCTCCTGCCTCAATGTTCATTCTCCCGTTTTTCAACAAAATCTTTACAATATCTATCTCGTTCTTAACACATGCCAAATGTAAACTGTTGTCCTTGTTTGCAAATGTTGACAGATCTGGTTCTGGTGTAGCTCCGCTCTCTAGCAGGAAAGTAACAGCATCGGCTTGTCCATAGTAGGATGCATACATTAAAGGTGTTCTTTCATGTTCACCATGACTGTTCAAGTCCATCTTTAGTGAACAGAATATTTCAATGGTATCCTTGAACCCTCCTCTTGCTGCTAGATGGAGGCAATTGTCCCCTTCTTGGTCTTGCAATGATGGATCAGCTCCCTTTTCAAGCAGCACTTGAACCAGCTTTATATGACCCCTGTAAGTTGCATACATAAGTGCAGTCATAGAGTTTCCCCCACGTATGTCAACCTCTGTTCCAAGCTTTATCAGTTCCATCACGATCTCAGTATGACCATTTGCTGCAGCAATATGGATACATTTATCTCGGCTATTGCCATGCATGCGGGGTGTTTCTTTCTCATGTGTTTTTTTAAGTTCTAATTGACTAAACGTATTTGAGAGACTCCAGTCATATTGCTTTCTTTCTGCCTGATAGTCAGCAATATCTCCAACACAAATTCCTTTTATTTCGTCAAGACATGGGTCAGGATACTGCATCAAAAATTTGAATGAATCTATTGTTCCACTCATGCAACATCCAACATATCCCTCCAGTAGTTCTTGAGTGCTGAATTTTGTAGATTTGAGGGCTCGTTTACAAACAGAATTAACACCTGAGAATGTTGTCCAAAAAAGAAATCCTAAGCCATGATCAGTATCTTTGCCATGTAGGACATCTTCTAGATCTTTGTCAAGTTGTTGAAACAGTTGATTAGCAATGTTTTCCAAGAGGAGTGATGGATGTGAGAGTGGCGGTGCAAGGTTAACAGAAACCAGTTCATGTACAAGGCGCGCAATAAGTACACGCATGCCAGACACGTCAAGGTAAATATTGAAGTCATAGTTGGTGCCACCACTAGGCTTAGAACTGGATCCATGCATGTCAACTTTCACCCTTTCCAATATGAACTGAATGCTACAATGTCTCACCACAAACACAGGGTTGTGATATCCCACCACATAGGCAACTGCATCGTTAATAGTCGGATGATCGAACTTGGTGATGTCCCCACCAGAAAGAAGCATTCCAATTTGACTTCGGGCAGCAATGTTCACTTTCACCGGCAGAGAATCTGAATAGGTAAGATGAGGAAGAGTTGTGCAAACCTTTTTCAGCATTTCCTGAAGTATGGCATGTCCACTTGCTTGGCTGTCCACAAGATCAATAAGGTTCAGACTTCCATCATTCAGCATCATGAGAAGGAACACAGCTGTTGTGCTGGTTTCTTCACAAATCTCTGTAAGCACCTGGACAAGATATGCCAATGGTTGCTGAAAAAACTGTATTGCTGATATTTTGGTCCAACGATTTTTCCCGTAGAGCTCACAAATATGTGGAAAACCTAAGAGGTTGTATTCTAAATTTGAGATTGCTCTGATGTCTTCATCTTTAAGAAATAGACTGGACAGTTCTAAATGTTTTCTCAGTATCCTTTCTTTCTCTTCTGCGTCAAGTTTGGTAAGAGACATTAACCTAGCTACTGTACTTGGCCTGAACAATGAGCTTTGATATTTCCTGATTTTTGGTTCAACTTCATTAAAGATGTTAGTTCTACTATTGAAAACAATTTTCAAAAGCCTTTCGTGCTGTTTGTTCTCTAAATGTTCGTCTTTTCCCGCCCTTTTAGGGGAGTTTTCTCTGTTTCTCTGATATTTAAAATGAGATTCAAGATCATTAAAGAGCTTTCTACAAAGGACAAACTCAGCTGTTGTTGGAGAGAAATGGCCAAAAAGATCATCAAATATCAGCAAGGTATGCCTTTTCAGACTTATGTCTTTAAAATCAAAATCTGAAAGACTTTCAATAAATCTGATATCATACTCTTTCAATCTGTACTTCTCCATCAACATGAGTGACATCACTGTCTTTCCTGATCCCGGAGACCCACAGATGGTCACAACACCCTCAGAAGACAATGTCGAAGAAACATAGTTGTAACCTTTCGTCTGCACAAAAGTCTGCTTGGCATTTGCCATTTTCTCTCTGACAATTTCTGTAATACAAAAAAACACTGATACAGTCTAGCCATATATTGTTTGTAATTGTAATATAAAGTGGGCGGCAAAAGAAAGTATAGGTCGAGTTCCATGATCGATAAAAAATAACAAGAAGAGGTTTTGTTGTGAATGTTCCCTGCTGTTGGTTTTGTAAGAATGGAAGCACAACTGGCTGCAACACTTGGTCTCTGTACTACACAGCGTTCAGGTTTCCCTGCATATTCACCAAATCAGTCTTCTGATCTCCACAAATACCGCCCCACACCATGACACATCCCCGCCAAATGGATGGACCTCTCGAATACACGCCGGAGCCAAACGTTCCCCTCTGCGTCGATAAACTCGTTCTCTGCCGTCATTTCGAAACAAGTTAAACCGACTTTCATCAGTAAGCAGCACTCGACGCCAATTTCTCACTTGCCAGCGTCGAACCTGCCTCGCCCATCGCAGTCTCAGGCGTCGATGTTGAGCAGTCACTACCATACCTCGGAAAGGACGATACGCTCGGATTCCAGCAGCACGAAGTCGTCGTAGTACTGTACGTTGGCTAATGGGATGTCCCAACGCTGTTGCTGCCGTCGCCGTCGCCGTCGCCGTTACGAATCTGTTTCGCAGGTGAATGAGCCGTATCTGACCCTCTTCCAGTGGTGTTGTCACTCGGGGTCGTCCGGTTCTAGGCCTGTCCAGTGTCCAACCTCTCTGCCTGTTCCGTTGAATCAGCTACTGTCAATGGTGTACAACCAAACCTTCTGGCAATTTGGACCTGTGTTGCCCCCATTTCGGCCATACCGATGGCTCCCTCTCTCTCTGCTCCTGTGACAGTCGTGGCATTTCTTTTGTGTGCTTTCATCACTTGTGGTTATACCCTGCAGACGAAACCTGTTTCATCATTTTTTTGTCACCGCACGAGCGCCGTCAAAGGGGGCGCGTTCGGGTGAGTTGTTTTTTGGTACCTGTTCCTGGGCAGTCATATTCCCAGTACCCACTTTCCACTAGTTATCGCTGTTTTTAGGGAAATTACAAATTGTCAAACTATCCTTTCTTTTGCCGCTTTGTTTAGTAAGTGTAATTTAATCGATGTCTCATACATGTGACAAGTGTAACCTCACTTGCTGAACTAATTTGCAACAATATATGATTTATTGAGAGCATTCTTCCAACTTTCAATATTACCGTCCGGTTGCTAGTAATTGTTTAGTTGTCAAGTATTACTGCTTCATAATATTTACAGTTATTTACGTATGTTTTTATTTCGCTATATTGATAGATAGGAATAACAAAATTACTTTAAATACAAAATTGTTTGAGGACTGGACAATAGGATTCCTCAATTATATTTCTAAATCACATAAATATCAGAATCAATTGTGGTAAATACCTGGAATCCCGAATTTTCTTTTGGCAGCTGGCATTTGAAGAACATTAGATACCTGCATTTCCTTGACAAGAGTAATCGATCTCGGGGCTGCAAAAATGTACAAAGTGAAAACATTATGAATGTTTGCTTGTAAATTAGTATAATAGCTATTATATCAGATCAGATGGAAGTGGGATCAAAAGGACTCAAAATCACAAACGCTGCCTCCTTTTCTGACATTATTTAACAATTTGAGATGGCACAAATAATCATTTCGAGCTGCAAAATAACTTTCATTTGGAAAACAATAATTCCGTAAAGGTTTCAAAACAAGCATAACTTTTCTCATCAAACCCTTAACATATGTTCATTGCCAATGTATTAATGAATGTATTCTGAGACAAAAAGTATCAATAGGTTACTTTTGACCAAATAGAGCCGAGAAATCATTTGTTGTGGTCACGAAAAAAATAATGAATTGCAGTAAACAGAAAATGAATGGACCATCGTTGTATCTATAATTGGTGGAAGGATTGATACTTCAAGACTGATATTATATCGTTGTGATGGCAACATAAATCTAACAAATATGTTAATAGTTTCCACAGTTGGCGGTAAGGTGGATATAGAATCTAACAGATGGTGAAGGAACATCTGTTTGTACAACAAAACATATCAATTTACTTAATATACCCATTCACTTTGTGTTAGGTTGCTCTTTTCTGATATATGACACTTTGTTTAAATGTATATTGATCTTTTTTCACGGCAGACATGTATCTTTCATGCAATATCATATTTCGGTTACAACCACAATCGTTTGATAATTATCTGTTATACTGCTATTTGATAGATAGTGATCGTCATATAAATTAATTTTCAATGCTTTAGTGAGGACTGTTTTGATTGTATGCATCGTCTACTAGGGTATAAGAGAAAGCTAATATCTTGGAACGTCTTAGAATTGCAGTGATGTTGTGTATCAGGTAAACGCGTGTCATTTTTGGTATACAAATTCGTTTCCTCAGACATCAGGTACTCATATGCAATGGTGTAAATGGTTTGTATGAACTGGAAGAAAACAAACACTGCTAACTAGTAATAAAGCCTTACTGTTAGCACATCTAAATATGTGAGGAGTGACTCTATATAATACTAAGCCTGCCAGTTTGTTATAGTTACCATCTACTGATTCATCAATTGTTAATAACAGCATCTAAGTAGCAGACTTACGCCTCCGAAAGATATCCATATCTGCGCCAGTATGCAAAACGTCTTCCTGTAACAACAAATATAGACAAACTGATATGCATTTGTCTATGCCCTCGGCTGAGAAAATAAAAACACACACTGACAAAAAAAATTATAATTTCCTTAAGACAACTTTTCTTAGTATGCTTACTTTTTGACACACAATTTCGCAATTAGGTTAGTCTGTATAAACCATGGTGTCATTATTTAGTCTCAGTGCAGATATATTAATGATGGACTCAATATTTTAGTTAATTTAAACAGCTGACAATGAAGACAGTACATAGATGTATTCAATTAAAGCACCGACATTTGAAAAAAAAGCAAGCGGGGTTGTAATGACACAATGTGGAGTTATCTAATGATAAACGCCATTGCCATGACACGATGTGGCGTTTTCTGTGAGGAAGCAGTTATTGTAATGGACATGATATGACGTTTTCTATGAGGAAGCAGTTATTGTAATGGGCATGATATGACGATTTCTGTGGGAAAGCAGTTATTGTGATGAACATGATATGACTTTTTCTGTGGGAAAGCAGTTATTGTAATGGGCATGATATGACTTTTTCTGTGGGAAAGCAGTTATTGTAATTAACATGATATGACTTTTTCTATGAGGAAGCAGTTATTGTGATGAACATGATATGACTTTTTCTGTGGGAAAGCAGTTATTGTGATGAACATGATATGACTTTTTCTGTGGGAAAGCAGTTATTGTAATGGGCATGATATGACGATTTCTGTGGGAAAGCAGTTATTGTAATTAACATGATATGACTTTTTCTGTGGGAAAGCAGTTATTGTGATGAACATGATATGACGTTTTCTGTGGGAAAGCAGTTATTGTGATTAACATGATATGAATTTTTCTGTGGGAAAGCAGTTATTGTGATGAACCTGATATGACCTTTTCTGTGAGGAAGCAGTTATTGTAATGGACATGATATGACTTTTTCTGTGGGAAAGCAGTTATTCTGATGAACATGATATGACTTTTCTATGAGGAAGCAGTTATTGTGATGAACATGATATGACTTTTTCTGTGGGAAAGCAGTTATTGTGATGAACATGATATGACTTTTTCTGTGGGAAAGCAGTTATTGTGATGAACATGATATGACGTTTTCTGTGGGAAAGCAGTTATTGTGATTAACATGATATGAATTTTTTTGTGGGAAAGCAGTTATTGTGATGAACCTGATATGACCTTTTCTGTGAGGAAGCAGTTATTGTAATGGACATGATATGACTTTTTCTGTGGGAAAGCAGTTATTGTGATGAACATGATATGACTTTTCTGTGGGAAAGCAGTTATTGTAATGAATATGATATGACTTTTTCTATGAGGAAGCAGTTGTAATGAGCATGATATGTCGTTTTCTGTGGGTGATAATATGCGGTTATATGTAAAGTAGTTATAATAAGTATATACTAATAATTGTATGGCGTTATCAATGGGGAAGAAGTTATTATGCCACAAACAGCAATTTGATCTTTAATGTTTTTAGACTGTTTCTGGACTACTTTAAACAGTTATCATGGTTTCAAATATAGACAGTGTATTTATAGTACTTACACGTGGAGAGACTGCCATGTTGCCAGCAGTGTGAGGAACCAAACTGGTGGCGGTGCTGTCATCATCTACAAAACGCGCATGAAACTGCGTGTCTGCGTCTACATATGCACCAGCTGCTCGTATTAAGGGAGTGTCTACGGTTGTATATGGCTGTCTATTTCTGGGGCTGTTCATATCTTTGTTTTCTAGTCTGCTTCGCCCCATGCCTACTCCGGGGCTGTCCACTTGCGTGTTTTCTTGATCGCTTGTCCAAGTGCCTACTCTGGGGTTGACTTTTGCTCGCCCCCTACCAAAGCGTCTCCATCCTTCTCTCTCTCCTTTGTTAGATTCGTCGTTTGTGTCGCGTCTCCCTCTACCCCTTCCTCTACCTCTACCTCTCCCAGTGCTGTCACCCACACTACCATCATCAGCAACTGCTGCAGTTCCGTCATTGTCTGTGACTCTGTGATCCATGTTAATGAAGAGGTCTGAAACATGCAAACATTCCATCAACTGAAAATGAAAGCAAAATTCAGTTTATCCTTGTATGCACGTCAATGTGAGCTTCTTTGATATTTTTTTTTTACCTTTTTATAGAATACATAACTATGATCCTCGTTCAGCATACTTGTGTTGGTAAGATTCACCAAAGTCGAAATGACTTGCGCTCACTTTGTTTTCAAAACGAAACTGACACGTCGCTTTATGACTGAAAAACTATTCTTTGCAATATTCTTACAGTTTTTACAACGTTATCTTAATAATTAACTCAATCTCAATAAAATTAGATCTAAGTTCTCGCTACCGCTAAACAAAGATCTGAGGACATCCCATTACGGGTCACGTCAGAACGCCCTTTCGCGAACTTTGACCGACCACTGAAATGAGGAGTTGATTTCTCAAGCTTGGTACCTCTCTCACAATTAGGCAAATGAAGCTCCGTAAAACAGGGGCAGTAACTCTGTCAAAATTAGTCGAAATGAAACGGGACTGCGATATGCGTATCATCAACATGCCGACATCTTGTGTGTAGAGTGTCAGGGATATTCTCTAAAAGCTGGAGGAGGAGTTGATTTCACAAGCTTAGTACCTCTCTCACAATTAGGCAAATGAAGCTCCGTAAAACAGGGGCAGTAACTCTGTCAAAATTAGTCGAAATGAAACGGGACTGCGATATGCGTATCATCAACATGCCGACATCTTGTGTGTAGAGTATCAGGGATATTCTCTGGAAACTGTAGGAGAAGTTGATTTCTCAAGCTTAGTACCTCTCTCACAATTAGGCAAATGAAGCTCCGTAAAACAGGGGCAGTAACTCTGTCAAAATTAGTCGAAATGAAACGGGACTGCGATATGCGTATCATCAACATGCCGACATCTTGTGTGTAGAGTATCAGGAATATTCTCTGGAAACTGTAGGAGAAGTTGATTTCACAAGCTTAGTACCTCTCTCACAATTAGGCAAATGAAGCTCCGTAAAACAGGGGCAGTAACTCTGTCAAAATTAGTCGAAATGAAACTGGACTGCGATATGCGTATCATCAACATGTCGACATCTTGTGCGTAGAGTGTCAGGGATATTCTCTAAAAGCTGGATGAGGAGTTGATTTCACAAGCTTAGTACCTCTCTCACAATTAGGCAAATGAAGCTCCGTAAAACAGGGGCAGTAACTCTGTCAAAATTAGTCGAAATGAAACGGGACTGCGATATGCGTATCATCAACATGCCGACATCTTGTGTGTAGAGTATCAGGGATATTCCCTGGAAACTGTAGGAGAAGTTGATTTCACAAGCTTAGTACCTCTCTCACAATTAGGCAAATGAAGCTCCGTAAAACAGGGGCAGTAACTCTGTCAAAATTAGTCGAAATGAAACGGGACTGCGATATGCGTATCATCAACATGCCGACATCTTGTGTGTAGAGTGTCAGGGATATTCTCTAAAAGCTGGAGGAGGAGTTGATTTCACAAGCTTAGTACCTCTCTCATAATTAGGCAAATGAAGCTCCGTAAAGCAGGGGCAGTAACTCTGTCAAAATTAGTCGAAATGAAACTGGACTGCGATATGCGTATCATCAACATGCCGACATCTTGTGTGTAGAGTGTCAGGGATATTCTCTAAAAGCTGGATGAGGAGTTGATTTCACAAGCTTAGTACCTCTCTCACAATTAGGCAAATGAAGCTCCGTAAAACAGGGGCAGTAACTCTGTCAAAATTAGTCGAAATGAAACTTGACTGCGATATGCGTATCATCAACATGTCGACATCTTGTGTGTAGAGTGTCAGGGATATTCTCTAAAAGCTGGATGAGGAGTTGATTTCTCAAGCTTAGTACCTCTCTCACAATTAGGCAAATGAAGCTCCGTAAAACAGGGGCAGTAACTCTGTCAAAATTAGTCGAAATGAAACGGGACTGCGATATGCGTATCATCAACATGCCGACATCTTGTGTGTAGAGTGTCAGGAATATTCTCTAAAAGCTTGAGGAGGAGTTGATTTCACAAGCTTAGTACCTCTCTCATAATTAGGCAAATGAAGCTCCGTAAAACAGGGACAGTAACTCTGTCAAAATTAGTCGAAATGAAACGGGACTGCGATATGCGTATCATCAACATGTCGACATCTTGTGTATAGAGTGTCAGGGATATTCTCTAAAAGCTGGATGAGGAGTTGATTTCTCAAGCTTAGTACCTCTCTCACAATTAGGCATATGAAGCTCCGTAAAACAGGGGCAGTAACTCTGTCAAAATTAGTCGAAATGAAACGGGACTGCGATATGCGTATCATCAACATGTCGACATCTTGTGTGTAGAGTGTCAGGGATATTCTCCGGAAACTGTAGGAGGAGTTGATTTCACAAGCTTAGTACCTCTCTCACAATTAGGCAAATGAAGCTCCGTAAAACAGGGGCAGTAACTCTGTCAAAATTAGTCGAAATGAAACGGGACTGCGATATGCGTATCATCAACATGAGGGATATTCTCTGGGAACTGTAGGAGGGGTTGATTTCACGTGCTTAGTGCCCTCTGTGGGACGGACAGACAGACGGACGGACAGACAGACAGACAGACGGACGGACTGCGCCACGACATAATCCCCCTTCGGCCATTCTGGCCCGGCGGGGGATAAAAACGCATTCCGACTGTCACTTTCATGATCTGGTTAGCGACGCTTTGATTAGTCGGATACAAGGTCGTTCTGACGTGACACGTAATGGGATGTCATCAGATCTTTGTTTAGCGAAAGCGAGAACTTACATCTGATTTTCATGAGATTGTAATTAACCTGGTCACAGTGCCACCTAGACGACACACAAATTAAGGGAAATATGAATATAACAGTGATTTGAGCCTTACCTTTATGAAATGTGTCGCTATCTCTATATCAATAATGCACCTATGTTCATGTTCAGGGTCCGAGCGTATTCAGTCGTAGAAATCTATTGTACACCTGAATAATGCATCGTGCCAACCGTCGGTTGTAGCAGCCACGTCTACACAACACTTGCGAAACGAATCAATAATAGTATCATCACAAGTAGTCGAATGCTAGTTACATTTGAAAGGGTATCACATATGAGCCCGGCGCAGCAGATAACAACAGGGTTGGCGCTTGTGCTTGTTTAAGAGATACAAAATACAAAGTACACTCACCAGATCGGTAGTATTCTTACTGCATGGGAGTCAGACGTCAGGAGCTGTCTGTTCACTCTGTCTACAGCCTCTCCATACTGTGTAATACCATGACGTCACCTGCCCCTTTATGTAATCGATACAAGAATAGCGAACGATTGAAATTATTCACTGTCAGCAATTCTCATTTCAGTTAGCCGTTCAAGGATATCGATAATCTCTGACCTACATTTAGATACGCATATCATACATGATCCGTGTGAATATAAAATAGTATGATAGTGTCGTTTCTCTCTTTGTGAAAGTTAAAGTGTACTCATACCTGTCAGTTGATTGTTTGTTTGTTTGTTTGTTTGCAGTTTAACGTCGCGCTCAGCAATATTTCAGATATATGACGACTGTGTGCAAATAATCAAGTCTGGACCAGACAATCCAGTGATTGATATCATGAGCATCGATCTACGTTATAGGGATACGATGGCATGCATCAAGGAAATCGGCGAACCTGACCACCGGATCCCGTTAGTCGCCTCTGACGGCAAGCATGGGTTGCTGAAGACCTATTCTCGGATCCTCATGGGTAAACTGTCATTTGAATCACAGTATTAAGAGCGATGGCATCAGTACTATGCCTATGGCCTATCATTACGATTAGATTCATAATGTGTCGGGGAATGCCAATTTTCATTTCAAAACAACCACAATATATTCTACGCCCTCCATGGACATGATGCCGCTGCGGTATTTCGTTTCTATCACGAGTATCATGGTATACTGGTGAATGATAGCCCAAAATGATGCAGGTCGTTGATGTTTACCCCTTTAATTTGTTGTAACCGACGAGTGGATGTATAGTGGTGATAAACCAAGAATCGGTGGTATGGAGGTACGGCACGAGTGGTCCAGTCGTAAAAAGATGCCGCAATTCGCTGAGTCCCATGGGCACGTCAGAAACCTGTGATCGTGGATGTGTATGTTTCTATGTTTGTCAGTACGATGCATTCCCGTGCTCGTGGGTTTCACCAAAGTGACAAACTTCTGGGACTTGCATAATTTCGGGCTTTCATCCCACATTAAGCTGCTGGTCGTGAAATAACCTGAATAGTTTTGAAAACGGCCTTAAACGTACTCACACACTCGAACCCATGGATTCTGGCACGATGAAGGGATGCAACACTTGCAACACTGCATGCATGAGAACTGTTATGTATAGTTCTGGTTGCAGAGGAGATTTTATTTTAGCACAATGGACTAAAAAAGAAGACGACTCTGGTACCATGATTGGAAATATATATCTTTTAAGCGTCTTCTAATGCAGATAAAAACATGTTCTTATCACCAGCATCTTGGAATAACCACACATACGCAAAACCGCTATTAAATAACATTTGCCTCACATACGATGCCCAACTGACTTTTCCATTCTCTTCTAATACTTTAAACATAACATAACTTTGGAAGGGGTAACAGACTGTTTGTATAAACAAATTCCTCTCTCGACTCTCTTAGCTGACTACCGTGTTTGGATTTCACTTTCAGGAACGTCTGTGTCCTTTCACATGTAATGCATTCTGTCTTGAGTTTGTTTCACACACCTGATATGAATCTTGTAAAATGTTCTGTCAAACATAGTTATTGATTAGTTACTAGACATTGGCTCATCTAAGAAATAGAGTCGATCATATTATCCTCGTTTGTCTGTGACTATACTGAATCAGCTATCATACATTTATAAATATGAATTACAGAGAAGATGATTAGTTAGGAACGTTAAATAGTGACTTGTCACGAATGGTCATAAATTGGAAAGGAAGGGAGATAACAATCTTTTGAATGAGAACTATGTACATATTCCTATATTCGTATTATATTAGTATTTGGATATGGAATCAGGTATAATCTTTGGTGCGTTTGTCAGAGTGATTCAGTATTGTTTTACGCCGCTTTTAGCAATATTCCAGCAATATCACGGAAATCAGAAATGGGCTTCACACATTGTACCCATGTCGGGAATCAAACCCGGGTCTCCGGCGTGACGAGCGAATGCTTTAACCACTAGGCTACCCGACCGCCCCGGTGCGTTTGTAATTACGTTTTGATCCCGAATCATATCATGTCATGTCATGTCCTATCGTATCTTATCCAACCTATCACGCCAGGCCAGGCCAGGCCATTCATCATGATGATTACATCCCACTTCTACCTAGTTGCCATTAATACAAGTGTCCTGTTTATTGGATATCAGGACACTTTTAAAAAAAAGGAACTTGATAACTGTCCTAAAACTGTTATCAGTACTTGTTTCGAATTCCTTCATGAAAATTGGAACAGTGATTAAATGTCTCCTTACGTCTTTTGTTTGTGGTTGGTCTGCCAAAATTAACTGCGTCATGACACTGATGCGAGCGTGTGTCACTCGCAGTTCTCGCAGTACTTTCCTGCTCGCAAAACTTTCCAGATTTACAGAGTTTAAACTGAAAACAATTTTTATGCCACATCAACAAGTTTTAGTCAGAAGAAAACGTTAACACAAAAGATATGTTCATATGCAAACAATGACAGAGAGGTAAGTGTTCGTCCAAGTTCGGAGCACAAACCTTGAAACATACTTGGGGTGAACCGGGATTCCAACCAACAATCATAAGTTTCTGGCGTGCCAAAAGGACGCAAATCTGGCCAGCGAATTGCGGCGCCTCAGAATACTGCGCCACCAGCGGCCCAGGTATTTATGATGTACTGTTTGTAGGCATGAAAGGTTATACCCATCGCCAATTTCTCAACAAAATTAACATTCAGCACATGTGGTATTTTCCTGTATTGTGTTCCCATGGGTGTACGAATATTTAATCGTAAATATAATATATTAAAAACAAAAACGATAAATATATTAGTATTCATGTAAAGTATGAATATATTTTTAGTCCTAATAATTATAATTATATGTTTATCTTCATGTTAGGGTGGTCTTAGACATTGAGGCAGGTTCTAAGATATTACACCATGTTTAACAATATTTCCCCAGTAAAACTAATCCAACGACCTGATATCTGAGTAAATATGTACAAGAGAGAGGATTGTTACAGTAAGTATGAGCTTATGAACGGTCAGCCCCTGGAAGCAACGCATCTGAAGCGTTTCCTTAAAAAACATAAGGCTGTGTGATGTTTGGTAAGAACCCTATCACAAACAAAAAAGAAAATTCTGATTTTTTACTTGAATCGTATCTTCTCTTTTGGCAATCTCACACCAACTTTCAGTGAGGGCGCCGATAATAAATTATAACAAATACTTCTACAAGCAATTAGTACCATTAAAACGGAAGATATTTCATGACATACACAAATATAATTCATGAAATTACATTTATTACATGATATTCATGAGATTTGAAGAAAACCTAATACTATATGAATCCCACTGGGGCCCTGTACAGCTTATATATAACAATAGTCGACAGGCTCTATCAAGGCATCTATGCAACCCTAATACAAAACACTGAAACAATATAAACAAAGAACATAACTTTATTCTGACACACTTACAAAATAACAATGATGGTACAAGTACATCAAGGGATAATTATTCCTTTTCGAACTTAACGACCCGTATTAAAACGAACCGTGAAGATCCGGGGTAGGATAGATCTTCAGCAACTCATGCTTGCCGTAAAAGGCGACCGTGCTTGTTGTAAGAGGCGACTAACGGGATCGGGTGGTCAGGCTCGCTGACATGGTTGAAGCATGTCATCGATCCCAATTGCGTTGATCGATGCTCATGATATCAATCATTGGATTGTCTGGTCCAGACTCGATAATTTACAGACCGCCGTCTGTTTCATAATTAGATCTACGCATAATATACACATATAAAATACATACACGTGAACATTGTTCAAAACATTTGGATAGCTTTGCTTTGTAAATAGTGAGTTCAGGCACCGCTAGACTACCAGAGCTCACAAAAAGATAACTTGAGATTTAAACAAGATTTAAAATCATGTCCAGATAAGCTTGAATTTTGACTGTATTCAGATACAAGTATGGTGGTGTTAAATCGTCTCTAACACCATCAGTAGCTATGAAAGCAGGTAGTTGTTTCTGTTTGAATTGAGTAAAGTGTAGTCCAGAGGAATAAAAACACCTAGCAGGTTTGCTCTGACAGATGGATACATGTACATTGAGTGATGCTTTTGATGCTAGTTTGCTTTTGTATTGCACATACTGATATTGATTGTATTGATACCAAAACCGCTCAAAAGATATTGTGGAGATTAACTGTTTAGCCACGACATATTGGTTGAAAATACATACATCATATTTTATATTTTGTGGGTGAAATTGAGATGAAGTAAGTAAAGAGGCTTGAGTCATAGATTTAAGTTTTTGTACATGAGATATAAATATAGTGAATCTCCAACTTCAATACGTCCATACCTTGTCTACAACAATGTCAAGTCATGTAACTAAAATCTGGTATTAAAAGTTAAAGCATTGTTATTTAGCTTAAACAGTAAACAGGTTTTGCATCTCCATTTGTTGTTCATCATCCTTCGGGATAGATGTAAAAGAGTCACGATCATGCAACAATGAAGCATTTTCCTAGCATTATTGCTATTCAAATTATTTTCTCCATTGCGCCTCTTTTAGCAGACTCAATATGGAGTAAGTCCATTTTCACCTCTTGTGTTGATATCAAAACCGGTGATTAAGTAGTTCATTTGAAATATGATGCATTGGTGTCTGACAAGTTTGCATATTACCATTCTAAACACAACATTAAACTTGAATGAATCCAGGACATGAAGCTGTGTTGATGTTTTCAAAGCGTATTTCAAGTATGGACCATGTCACAGGTGTTACAGCTATATGATGCATGTAGTATTTAAACAGTTTTTAACAGCAATGCAATGTATCAAGGTTGCTCATCTAGTATTTACGCTGTCAACAATGATTCCTAGACTTAAGGAAATAACACGTGCCCTTTCATCACTGCAAGAGGTAAACCTTGTTTCACCCTGGACTTTGGACATACACATACGTCATTCATATTTGAGACAAATAATCACCAAGTTCACAATGTCCATGAGTTTCAGCATGACTGATACAATCATGGCCATTCAGGTCAATTGCTTTTCGGTTCGCTCCTGCACTTATCAATAAGTCTACCACTGCCCGATTTCCTTGTCTTGCAGCACACATCAATGGCGTCACACCAAGCGTATTCGGAGCATTGACATGGAGACCCCTTTCAAGGAGCAGTTTGTGTGTCTCTATGCTGATATCTTGGATATCACATGCATAATGCAGCAAATTAGACTTGGTGCCACTGCTGTCCAATGTACTGACAGAAGCATTTCGGGACAGCAAGAGGCTCAAAATGTTCACGTTGTCCTTGCTGATGGCATACATGACTGGGGTCATGTTGTCATCATCCTCTTTATCAATATTTAGTCCATGATCAAGTAATTCATTTGGAATATGTGTGTCATTGGTGTCTGACATGCATGCTAAATGCAAACAACTGGCGCCATGATCGGTTAAGCAGTGCAGATCAGCACCTTTAACAAGCAGTAGGTCAAATTGCTCCTTGTTACCACTCCTGCAAGCAGACATGATTGGAGTATAGTCATGTGAACCTTTGGTGTTGATATCCAAACCACTGTCCAAAAGATATTCTGAGGTGGCAGTGTGACCACCAGATTTTGCGGCAATGTGCAGGCACACGTCACCATTTTCATCGCTCACGTTGATGTCTGCGTCTCTTTCAACAAGAATGTTGACAACTTCACTTCGATCATCTCTGTTCTTGGATACACACATGAGAGGGGTTCTGTTGGTAGAATCACGAATATCAACAAACATGCCCAAATCAAGGAGTTTGGCACAACCCAATGCATTTCCAAACCATGCTGAAGTGTGGAGGGTTGTTTGCCCATGATTGTTTCGAATATTCATGTTTGCACCATGTTCAACAAGGAAGTCAACCATATCAAAGCATTTGGATTTAACTGCAAACATCAAGGGTGTCATGCCATTGCAGTCAATGTCATCAATGGGAATTATCTCCAACAACCGCTCTGCTATTTCCACGTGGCCACTGCGACATGCCACATGAAGACACGTCTGTTCGAACTTATCTTTTGCTAAGATGTCTGCACCTTTTGACTGCAAATACTCCACAATATCAGTGTGACCATGAAAACATGCTGTCATAACCGGTGTTCTATTTTTTGGGCCGCATTTGTTGATGTCTATTTTTGGAAAAGTTGATATAAGATACTCAACCATTTCAAGGCTACCCCCAATGCAAGCAGCATTAAGGCAACCATTTCCCAAATTGACATTGGCGTCTTTCGCCACCAAACATTTAACAAGGTTCAAATCCCCTTGTTTGCAAGCACGCATGACTGGGGTTTGGTAACTATTTGAACATGAGTTGACATTTTGACCTTTTTCCAGGCAAAGTTCAACCAAAGGCAATCTCCCGGATTGTACAGCCATATGCACACATGAGACCATTGAATGATCTTTTAGAGCTATGTCAGAACCATGTTCAATAAGCCAGTCTACCATGTCAGCATGGCCATTCTGCAATGCAAACATCAAAGGTGTTCGCCCTGTATCATTAGTACAATCAACAACGATTCCTGGATTTAAGGAAAGGAGCCATTCAGCTGTGGGAACATGCCCTTTCATCGCTGCAAGATGTAGGCAAGAAAAGCTTGTTTCATCCAAGACACTGGTATTTGCATGCCTGGCTACTAGTTTCTTGGCAGTTTCAAACTGCCCATTCCTGCAAGCATACATCAATGGGGTTCTGTTTCGCTGACCCGTCACTTCAATGTCCATTTTGCCTTCATCAAGAAGAATCTGAACAATTCTTATTTCACCCTTCACACATGCAAGATGAAGACAGTTGTCTTTTTGGTCAATAGATGATACATCAGGATTTGGCAATGCTCCCTTCTCCAATAAGAGCTTCACAATATCCTCATGCCCATTGTATGAGGCATACATCAGTGGCGTGCGTCCATGTTCACCACGTTTGTTGACATCCAACGTTTCTGCAATTAGGGATTTAGCTAAGTCAACAGACCCCCCTCGACATGTAAGGTGAAGGCAGTTGTCACCTTCTTCGTCCAACAATTCCGGATTGGCCCCTCGTTTGAGCAATGTTACAGCTAAGTCAGTATGACCAAGGTAGCTTGAATACATGAGTGCTGTCATGTCATTGCCTCCCTTGACGTCAATTGGTGTACAAACCGTATCAAGGAGTAGTTCTACAATTTGAGTGAATCCATTTGCAGCTGCAATATGAATCAACTTATCTTTGTTGTCCCCATGCATGCGGGGGGTTACTTTCTCGGGACCTACATCAGTTTTAGTGGGGCTGCATGCTGTGGATAGGCTGCGTACAAATTGCCTTGTTTCTTTTCTTATACCCAGGATATCCCCAACACTGACTGTTGCTATTTGGTCATAAAAAAAATCTGATTTAGCAACAAGTACCTGCAGAGAAGAAACATTCCCACTCAAGCAACAACCTAGATATCCTTCAAGGATTTCAGAAACTTCAAATGAAGTATGCTGAAACAAAGATTTGCTCACAGGACCAATGCTAGCAAACGATGACCAGTATAAGAATCCAAGGCCATAACCCCTGTCATGGGAATGCAAAACTCCTTCAAAGTTCTCACGTCTTGAAAGATTTGAAAATAGACAGTCCACCATGCTTTCTAACATGAGACACTGATGTGACAAAGAAAGAGCAATATGACCATCAGTAATCTCCCGAGCAAGTCTCTCCACAAGCACCATGGCAGCATCTTGTTTAAGGTATATCATGAAGCTGGTGACATACCCACCACTGGGAGCCTCAGTCATGTAGTCTTCTGAAACCTTTGTCCTTTCAATGATGAACTTGAGACTGCAGTTTTCAAGAATGAAGACAGGGTTCATGTCCCCCACAACAAATGACACAACATCATGGATAGTCGGATGACTAAACTTGATGCAGTTTTTGTCAGATACCAAAAGCGTACGAATTTCGTTTTTGGCAGCTTCGCTTAAACGATGAGGATGAAGAATATCCGGCAGTATTTCTTGTACACTGGATAGCTTCTTCTCAAGTCCACTACTTTTTCGCTTTTCAGCACTCAACAAATTGATCAAGTTCAGTGTTCCATCATTGAGCACCATAAGCAGGAGCACAGCTGCTCCGTAGTTTGGATCCTCGGAGATGAATATGTTGCTTATTAAGTCATGTAAATACGTCCAGGGCTCCTTGAAGAATTGCACGGCCTATTCCTGTGAAGACCAATTGTCCACAAACAACTGACAGATATATGGAAATCCCAGTGTCCTGTATTTTAAATGTGCGATGTGTTCTACATCGACAGAAGTAACGCTTATGCACCCTTTTCTCACATGTTTGCGAAGTATGTTTTCTTTTTCACGATCTTTCAACTCTGTTATGGTTAGATCGGCAATAGTGCTGAATCTAAACAAGGATGTTCTGTATTTCTGTAACATCGTGGAGACAATGGGGTGTTTGGAAATGTTTGTCCTACTGCACATGATAATTTTGAGATTTCCTGAGATGTCATCACTTTTATATTTATCTCCAATTTGTCTTTTAGTCCTCTTTTCATCTAACCGTTTGAAGTGTGTTTCCAAATAATTGAATATATTTGTACAGCGAACCCTAATTTCTGATGTTGGAGAAAATCTACCAAACACGTCATCAAGAACAAGCAATGTTGGTTCACTCAAATTGACGTATTCTTCAACTTTAAAACTTGTCACTTCATCCACAAATTTCACCTTGTATTTCTGCTTTCTGTATGTACCCATTATGTAAAGAGCCATAGTTGTTTTTCCTGATCCCGGTGATCCAGTAATGAGAACATGTCCATGGTGAGCCAGAGCATCACAAACATTCAGGTAAGCATCCGTTTTTACAAAGATGTCTTTTGCAGATTTCAACCTCTCATTAACCATATCTGTAAGGCAAAAATGAATCTATAATTTAAACAGCAACACCTTGAACCACAAAGTACAAACAGTCAGAAAAGCATATGTGTGGTTGGATATTTGTTAGATTTACAATGGCTATAGTATATCTTGACACAATAATATGTACGGATTTGGGAGAGTAGGTATACCTGGAAGTTCACCATCACCGCTGACAGTTGTCCCTTGTGAAATGTTCAGGTTGCCAATAAAGTTCACAATGTTCAAATTTTCAAAATGTACACCTAAAACAGAAAATACAAGAGAAAACAATTATTCATTCAAAAACATCAGGATTGTTATTCATGTGTACACGGATAATCAATATACGTAATATGTTATATGTTCCTGGTAAACAATTGTAAAATGTCATATCTTAAGCTGCCATTGCTGACCCTACTTTTCGTGTATTTTCGTGTATTTTGTATGCAACACTCACCATCGGGAATTGACGCCAATGAGCATTCTGCCAGTGGTTGCTGTATTTCTGAAAATCAAATAATGTTGTAAATCGTCTGACATAGACCCAATATACGCAACCAGAAAGGCTGCCGGATCTCAAAGTTGACAACGTATCAGTGATACTGTTACAGAGGTAAACAATTTCCATAAAAAATAATAATGAAGAGTCCATTGCACGAGCCCGACTATATCATGAGTATGTGTCAGTGCATCACTATCAAATTTGCTGTTGAAAAGATTGGGATAAAGTTTCATGAACACTATACACTTCCCACTATACAAGCGTACATATACAAAAATAACGAAGCGTAGAAAGACGCGTTGAGATATTTTAAATGACATATTATTTGACTGTATCATGAAAATAGGACGAAGCTAATTATATCTCTTGGTGATATGTTCATATTTCATATTAACTGAACAAAAAGCAAACATTAATTCAATCCTCAGTGTGTGATAAACTGTTTCTACAAGAACCTTCACGGTTGATCTCTCGAGGCCCAATGTTCTCGACATATGTTATCCTCCGTCGTACAGGGTGTGCTGTATCCTCTGACTGACCATTGTCTGTTTGAGATAGCATGACTGACCCTCCAGTTGTGTCTTCATATCCTGAAGGTTGATCCTGCAGGATAAAAGTAGCACACGTTAATGGTTGGTTGGTTGGTTGGTTTGTTGTTTAATGCCGCACTCAGCAATATTCCAGCTATATGACGGCGGTCTGTAAATAATCGAGTCTGGACCAGACAATCCAGTGATTAATATCATGAGCATCGATCCATGCAATTGGGATCGATGACATGCATCAACCAAGTCACCTTGCCTGACCACCCGATCCCGTTAGTCGCCTTTTACGACAAGCATAGTCACCTTGTACGGCAAGCATGGGTTGCTGAAGACCTATTCTACCCCGGAATCTTCACGGGTCCACACATTAATGGAACAGAAGCATTTATCAAATGTTTTACAACAATTTGTAACGCATGCCTTCATTTATGGTTTCTGTTAGTAGGTTCAGTCGTACAAAATAAGCCGTGTTCATCATGTCTATAACCGTATCAACGTGATGCCATCTTTCTATTGTTTTCGTTAAAAGGATAGAATATTTCCATGTCCTACCTGATCACTATCATTAGGACCGCTGCCCCCACTTTCTGCCATTGTTGGTCTGTTAAATGAAATTGAGAAAAGGTTCAGTGTTAATTATGGATACAGTACGTTACTCGAAACACAAACACATGGCTGCAAGTATGGGCGTCAGGTTGTCAGAGAGATAAAAGATGTCAAAAACGTTTTAAGGTAGACATGTAGAGGGTTTTTCCTAATGTGACGCATCAGTGACCGAAATGATTTCCAGTGCAATTCCCTACACTTACTTATACATTTATATGTAAATGGGGTTCTTGAGGCGAGCACTTGCCTTTGCATGTGTTTGTGACGGGTGCGGGATACGCTAACGTTTTCGCAAACATCTGGTATCACCACTATTTAATAATGATTTATTAACACATGTTTATGATACAGTCGGAGTCGTAGAATGGACTCTGCTTTTAACAGAGATTTCTTATGATTATGGGAAGGGTATTTTCGCTTTTATTTCTATTTATGGTGGATAAGGAGGACAATTGCTTTATCGACATAACTTCTACCCGATTTTGCGATATTGTGACGTGATAGTAAAATGTGACAGTTATACTTAGGTCCGACAGTGTGATGGTAAAATGTGACAGTGATATTGCGATGCGAAAGCGCGATCGTGAAATGTGACAGTGATATTGCGACGCGACAGAGCGTTAGTAAAATGTGACAGATATATTGCGGTGCGACCTAGCGGTAGTAAAATGTGGCAATGATATTGCGATGCCACAGAGCGATAGTAAAACGTAACAATGATAATACATAGCGACAGAGCGAAAGTAAAATACGAGAAAGTTGATATTGCGATGCGATATCAGATACCTATCACAGGAGTGAGTCAGCATGGATGTAGCAATGTCACGGCAGCGGACACCCAAAATAGCTATGATTGGACACTAAAGGCAATAACCCTCTCGATAATCATACCTGCATTCAACACACATTCTGTACATACAAATACACGGTGTTGGGGAGACAGATACTTCCGCAATGTGAGGTAAGCTTAGTATACATGTTTGTTGTCATCTTGGTGTCGAAAAAACCCACTTCCGTTTAACCGATGTATAAGCTTTTTCCGAATGAAACAGTATAATTGATGAAAAACATCTTTAGATTTTAAACACATATCTGAAAATATTCAGGATATTCATATGTGTAGGCCTCTAAACGCGATTATATTACATCATGGGTGAAAGACAATCTTAATACGGTTTAAAATGGAAGGTGCCACATGATGTTAAAGGGAAAGAGTACACACAACATTGGAACATGTCGAAGGAAACGAAAATGGGATTGTTATGTTTCTTTCATTATGGGTAAACACATTTTTTGCACCCAAGTTAACGCACAACCCACGTAACGGAAATCCGATATCTTATGACCCTAAAACAATGTGTTCGACGAACGACAATTTCAGTACATGAATGATCGGCCTTTCATATGAATAACAATCGTGCCAACAATTGCGAACGTATTGATCTGTTCTTTGAAAGTGACGTATTCGTTCACCTTAAAATTTGCGAAGCTTACTTTGGAGCAAATACTTATGATAAGGCTAAGATAAAATGTTGCAAAAGATTCTGCATATCAGATTTCATAATGACACATGCAAAAATAGATCAGTTACGGCCAAACATTACATTTCCATTTGTCCGCCATGGCGGCTATGTTTAAAATAGGATCGGAATTCTGTGAGCACTATTTAGAGAAATCACAGATGACAGTGCATTACAGATTGCATATAAAGGGAAGTAACTGCGTGACATAAATTGTTTTGCACTCTATTACAACAGTATGTGGCAGAACATACAACATGTATTGTGCATATGAAGTAACAGCTTAGCTACATTATTCTTGTGTTCGATAGTCGGAACGGTATCTATGTCCTTTATACATGGTTTCAAAGCAAGACTGAAAGGCTCTCATGATTGTACACCTAATCATGCATACACTCACACATATTATGAATGACTGATGATTAATAAAGTGATGATCTCCCGGGATCAACGAAAGACAACAAAAGCTATACATAATATTGGGGAAAATGGTTGACAGTATGCTAGTTCCAACATTGTATTATGGTGCTGAAATGTGGGAAAGTTCATACACAAAAATAATAGAACGTATGCAGATTTTATTCTACAAATGATTTGAAAAAACAACTTCCAATGACATAGTTCTTGGGAAGTGAGGCAGATTCCCTCTACAATTTACCTACATTCCAAGAGCAATAAAATACTGGAATAAATAAATTAGCCTCAACAATAATAGACAGCCATATCGGCATCATGCTTAAATCTCTTGATGCTGCTGGAACATACACAGGTGCTACTCCAATTAAGATTTTTTTACTTCACATAGAATGTAGTAGAGTCTATATTCAGCAAGATATAGGTAATGCTGAAATGTTTTATGTGTATTTCAACACAGGCTCTCAGATACTTGATAACAAGAATCGCGCATTCATATTTGGAAAGTTAATATAAGTACAACAACTACCAACGACATAAATCACTGCTCAATGTTGAATCATATCTAGCAACAAACATACCTCAATATATAAAGTGGCATTTATCAAAATTTAGGTGTAATAACTTGAGATAGGAAGACAGCCGAGTTCTAATTGTGGCAGATTAATCGTGAGTGTGTAGAATTTTCGGTAACAACCGAAAACAGTGGTTAATCCTTTTTCTCCCATAACAATACGCCATAAAAAGTCGAGCTCGTAGTTGAAGATTTCCCGTGTTTAGAAACCACTCGGGATTTCCCCCAGCCTCGTTTTCGAATATGCTCAGTAAGACAACTGCACCATAAACAGGTAAAAAGGATCTCGCGCAGACAACCCACACGAGTTTTCCCGTGACAGGCAAGCCACTTGTTAGCATTCATGTTATGTTTTTCGTTAACTATTAACAGCTGATTGGAGTAACGTTTTGAGAATTAGTAAAGTGATTTGATATTGTTAATGGTTCTGGATTACTCGGCCCATAACTTTATTTGTATTTGTCTCGCCGTGACTATCATTCTCAATGCGCAACACTAAATAGGCCCACCTTTTTAGTGTATGTAAATACGTTATTCGTTTATTTGTCCGCTAGAAACAAATGTTATAAACCCAATTAAGAGGAAATTAAATATTCTCTTAAATATTGTGAAATATTGTTAACGGAAAACAAGGGCCCAAGGAACTGTCAGCAGGATTGATCAGGCACGATTCTATTAATACCAACTCAGGCATCTGATCAGCTGATTACTGCTAGGTAAATCTTCTCAAATCCATCAATGGATTGTAATATTTTTTAACGAATTTTCCTCTTTAAAACTAATTTTGCAGTGAATAATTTGATAGGTAAAATGATGATTATTTCATGTCATCTTTTTTTTGTTTTTTTGTTGTTCCTTAACATGGTGAGCACATGTGTTTTTATCATATAAAAGAAATAAACTTATTCAGTGGACAAATTTTCTTTTGAACATAATATTTAACATCAAAACATGTGAATGACAAGGAACAATGTGAATTTGACAAGCACAATACTTTATTGTGTGTGAAAAATAAATACATAGGATGTATGTAAACAATAAATTATCATTTCAATAGTTTTCAATAGTTTGAGTTTCAATATTTGCCTTTTAATACCCTTGTAATGTTACATTGTTTTTTTTACTGCAACAGTTACCTCCAAATTTTATTCTTTCTTATTTTATCAGAAATAAAGACTTACTGGTGATAGGTAATTTAAAATTAACATTTTCTTCTTTTTATCTTCATGAAAACAAGACTCATAATAAATATATATTTTAGTGACCTGTTCATATATGAATTTTTGTAAAAAGTATTAAAATTAAAATAAGACATTGCTAATGTTAAGAAATGAGGTTTATGGTGAAATATTATAAGACGACCTCTTGTTGGTCATTTCTGTCATCACCCATAAATTTGAGTTTTTCTTTACTTACCATGTTCTGAAAATTTACACATTACACATTAGAATAATTTAAGGTCTCTGATTAAAATAACGCAACATCTTTCCACTCTCAGGCAGCCAATTAGATTATGTGAAAAAAATAAACCACTGTAAACCTTCTAATGGGAGAAACAATAATATTCCTCATGATGAGAGATAATGTGAATTTTGTTGAAAGAAAATTGTCGTTTGTGAAAGATTAATACAATGTGATTATATGCGAACGCTGCTCCCGTCAAGAAACATATGCATCCATATTACACAGACTATAATAATTATCAACCTCATGATATCAACTGACAGACTTTCTATATATAATCGGAACGATATTTAGCTAAAGTTTTTTTAATGCAAAACGAGACAAAACTGATATAATATAAACACCCGTGTATGCAGGATATGAAGTTTTAAATGGTATTGTTATGTGTGCCGATGACCTTTATTACTGAATATATAGGCATATGCAATATACATACATACATACATACATACATACATACATACATACATACATACATACATACATACATACATACATACATACATACATACATACATACATACATACATACATATGCCTGTAGTATTATCGACCTCCAAGTCACGATATTATTTCATAGGTCGTTGTATTGTTATTAAATGATAACATAAATGGTCAATGCAATAATCTGTCTATATTATCCACCGAAATGATAAGATATACTTACAGTGGATGTATGCAGCGGATATAAACCCATCTAGCTATCATAGGTCTACCAGAGAAACACAACTGCACTGACAACAACGAGAATACACAGTCTGTCCGTCAGACGCAGTTCGCGGAAATGAGACCTGCTTTCGTTGAAATACCAGGTTACCTTGACCTAAAAGTCACATAAATCGCTGCGGTTAAACAGCGCAGTGACACCATGTCAATGCCGACCTGACACCTCGAGCGTGACATATACTAGGCTGTTAATATAATAGATGCGTTTAGAGATGAACAGATTCTCGCTGTATATAACGGACACCCTATGATACCGAAATAAAATACCGACGATAAATGTCGTAACGTAATACCACTAGTGCTATGGACATGCACATCTGACGATGTGTACATATTATACAGTTCAATGACGACATCAGCACGAGCATCGTTCAGGTAAGAGCATCTTCTCATTTGGATATGTTTCAATTCCAAAAGGAATTAGATGTTCATAGTGCATGCGTGTAAATTGTGTTTGTGGTATTTTGGGTCTCTCCGCTTTGTAACACATGTAGGATTTAAGTATGAATTTGAAAGATTTTTTTCGAATATCCTTGTTAGTTACCGCATGGTCATTAATGTCTGTGTGATCGTGTACGGCATGGCGTCTGCAATGTAGGAATATAATGGGCAGGGGGGGAGGAAAAGGTTTTCTTTCGAGACAATATATTTCGTAGTAATTAAATTCGACATAGATGATCGACTGTCAGAATTTCTTTCGAAATCAAGATAAATATCTATTTTTTCATCATAAACTGAAACTGAATTTAACATGAGCTGTGCGAGGAACACGGGCAGTAAACATTCGTCAACATGTCAGCTATATCGCCGCTTGGGCACCAGCAATCCTATTACTGTCACGCAAGCATGGATGCGCTCGGGCTATGACAGTGTTTTCTAAGCTGTAGGTCTACTCATCACCTTAATAAAGTCGTGAAATTTGGATAATGCACATTATTAAGACCGTTGTTTCTTGACGTGATAATGACAGCCAGAATCAAAATAAACCTTGCACATATCATAATGTGTTATACCAACTACCAGTTAATGATCCTTCCTTTGGGAATTTATGCATATATGATTCATAACGTATTTGTAACTTTTCTTACCTCTGTTCAGACAATTCCTTCCTGTATTTTTCGCTGAAGACGATTCTAGATGTTTATATTGAATGCTGCACACGGCTGTGGGGGAACCCCGCTTGGGAAATTTACATTATACTGAGCATGCGCCACAGTCGATCACATGACCAGTGTGTACGAAGTGACAGTTAAATGGCAACAGCAACCGTGAAACATTCAGGGATGTTGTGCACCCTATTAGTATTACATACTTTTAAAAGCAGTTGAAATCACTTGCATAACGGGTGTTATATTGTCCGTATATCAAAATAAACGCATTGTTTTACATTATGCTAAATTTTAAAACTCTGTATCCTATCTTTACATACATCTATACACCTTATTCTATATTTGGGGTTTATATATTTCATTTGGAAAATATTTTGTAAATACTGAAAAACAGATTTTACGAAAAGTGATTTCCCCCCAAAATGATTGTTTATTGATTGCCCAGAAAAATGTGTTGTGTGTTTTCAAATAAATTGTTTGACGCCTCCCTCTTTGAGAAAAGATTTCTTCTTGGTGGGGTAGCGGTGGAGTAGCCCAGTTGTTAAAGCGATTCCCCACATTGGTACCATGTGTAAAGCCCTTTTCTGGTGTCCCCCACCGTGATATTGATGAAATGTTGCTAAAAGCGGCGTAAAGCCCAACTCACTCACTCACTCACTCACCCTTGTTTTAAAGTAAGTCGTCTGTCAACGCACTACCCATGTTCTTGGTCTTTACGTAACTGGTAAACGTCTTAAGGCCTACAGCACTTTGTGTTTTCCTCCCTCATTATCTGACACGGAGTGATATAATTGAAAAACTGCAGTCTAAAATCTCAACACACTCACTCGATTTAAAGTAATCGCAAACCTCATTCAAAGTGTACATACATGTGGTATGATGGACAGAGAGATATGGAAAAGTGATCCCACAATTCAGGAACACTGTCCTTCATGAAGAGGGATTGACATTGTTGGAATATTCAAACCGAATCGATTCGGCTGTGCATTTGGAAACTCTATGCAAATATCAGACAGGGCGTGTATTACTAGTTCGCATTGTAGGACGTCATTTAGCGCAGGTGATTTGTAGACATGTAGACAGGTACAGGAATGTTAACGTTGTATGCAACTGCCACGTTCTCCCTACGCGGATCATAAAAGCTGACTAATATGAAGATCAAGTTGTCACTTATCTTCATGGCTGGCTGGGGGCATATTATTTCGTAGGCTGTTTTTATATAGTACGTGCGTACGTACGTATACAATTTTTCTCTCTCACATTATTTATCTGTACCACATGTCGGGCAGTGACAAGAAACCTATCAAAGACACGCCTCTCTAATGTGTATAATCGTCAGTAGGGCTGACAGATGAATATCAATTGAGTAAGTTAACCATAATTCTAATGTGGGGGGATTTGCTTACATTTCAGATAACTATAACTGTAACTATAAAAAAACACATTACATGAAAATTGAAAGCATAATTATTTGTTGTTATTCATCTTCATGTGTCATACCACAGCAAAGACATCAATGTGTTCTTTGATCCTCAGGTATTGATAGTTTTTTTTATGTCACAGAAACATTTCTAAACGTCCCTCAAAACGGGTTGCATACATGTCAGGAATATTATGTATTATTTCATGAAGTTCCCTGTTTTTAACTTGGGTCAGGACACACTCACTTCTTCACTAACACTTTGTGATTTCTTTTTTTTATGGTTTTACGCCGTTTTTAGCAGTATTCCAGCAATATCACGGAGACACCTGAAATAGGCTGCACGTATGGGCTGTACTCATGCGTGGAATAAAACCCGGGCCTTGGAAGTGACAAGTGAAGTTATCATCACTATTTGAATAGAAGGTATCATAAACACATTAAACACAAGGCTCTTTTATTTATTATCTTAGTTTGAAACAACAGGGTTCCGGGGTCGAATAGATCACCGGTACCCCATGCCTGCGGAGCTCAATATTGAAAATCCAAAGGGACGGCCAGAATCATCGTTTCATTGTTTCAACCACTGGATTGCCTGCCCAACGCTACAGCTGAAACAGTTTTGACTGTTGTGTAAAACACCATCCACCCACTATGGCGTGAAACAACATTCACTCGAATGTTTTCGAGACAGACTGAAATATGTTAAGGCGTCAGGTATTCACTAGATACTTATCGATTTCAATTGTAAATATACTTTCTTAATTACTTAATGCACAATACATTCAGGTACTAGATATTCAATATTGTGTTAAACCATAACACATGCCATAGACAGTGAACACTTCACAAAGAGGATATAAACTTACGCACGGAGAATCTCGTTTCCAATTGTATAGGACGTTATTCAAGGAATCAACCCACAAGGAAATGTATATCTCAGTAAAACTAATGACTGAATCATGTTACTGTTGCATCATTAATGCAGAAATGTAACACTGATGTCACATTCCTTCCATGTCTTTGTCCCAGGTTTGTTTAGACAAGGTAACTATAACCGCAACAGTCTTCATAATAAGACATACATAATCCTGTAAACGCTGGAGCCCGTTTGAGGTAATACCTACCCACTGCACCCCATTTTAAACTTGATACCTGGTGTTCGCGAAAATGTTAGCGTATCCTGCCCCATCGGTGGCACCCGCCACAAACACATCCACAGGCAAGTCGTGTTTTTATGTGAACAAACACGAGAACAAAGTAAAAGAAAGGAATTGCACATGATATCATTTTGGTCACTGATGCGTCAAATTTGGAAATGTTTGTTAAGTACATTTGGTGGGCAAGTCATGCATATAGTTTTGCGGAGCTATTGGATATATACAAGGCTAACGAGAAACAACAGTAACCCTGAAAGGCGGGTTATTGCTTTCGTCTATGCTTGCCTCCTCATGTTGGTCAAGTCGTGGTTGAGGTCGTCTGGTTACACGCAAACCCATTTCAGCAGCTCCTGGACCATTTCTCTTCAAGTGGAGCAGATAAGCAGAAGAATCGTGCATTTGATGATTAAGGCAAGCCATTTTGCATAAAGTTTGAAAAATTAGCTATTTATAAGTTACAAAATTAGCTATAGTCCATCAAAAGAATGACTTTTTGCGGCCATGGCGGCCATTTTGGAAAAATAGCCACCAAAAAGTACGATGTATTTCCAGACAAGGATTATTAACTTTGACATTGCTTTTCATCCACTAAAGTAACTTACTATAAAGTAGACACAATTTATGGATAACAACTTCTTTAATTACTGTAAAGGCGACGTTTCCGTATATATCCTTATACCGTTGTCAAGCAAGACTGGATCCTTATACATCATCATCATCACGTTGGAGATTTAACGTGCGCTTTCTGACTGATGGCGTATTTCGCACACGGGGTTGCACTTATACTATTGGGGTAAAAAAGCGCAATGAATAAATAAAGAAGTGCAACCCCCAAAAATATAAACTTTACAGACCTAAGCGTGGGAAGGCACGGCGTCGGCTGGCGGGCGTGTGTGGTTAGGAGTCTAGCGGCGGTTTACTTGAAGAAGTCTCTTGGTCAGCTTCTCTTCCTGGGGGTCGGGAATCTGGTAGAGACTCTTTGCAAGGAGGGCGGCGGTATTGGCGATAAAGTGGTTGGAGGACGGTACACCACTACTCTGGAAGAAGTGGGACAAGTCTGGGAAGCTGGTGATGTCGTGCTCGTACTCCTGCCCAACCTTCTTATGCACCATGACGAAAGGGACTCCTTGTTTGGCGTAGAGCTGTTCCATGGGGGTGGTGATTACCTCAGCCTGGAGGTCCGGGGTGGCCTTGAAGTGGTTTATCAGAATATCCGATTTTTCCACTAGGATGTCGCGGAAGCTTTTTCTCCTAGGAGGGGCCTCGACAGGGGTGGTCTGGGTCTGGCTTTCGCTAAGGGATGGGGGCTCTGGTGCGATTGCCTGAACGCTGGAGTCGTTCAGGGCGGGCGTCGAGGTCTGGGACTGGTGGTGGTGGTTGGTCGGGAGGCTGGTTCGGGAGAGGGGATGTCTCTCCACTTC